CTGACATCCGTCGATGATCAAGGATCAGGGACGCTGTCTCATTTGCCAAGGTGTCGAAAATCAGATGGGCTGGTCATGTAATGAGATTTAAAGACGACCGTTGGACTAGAGCTGTTACTGATTGAATTCCACGGGATGTCAAGAGACCACGTGGCCGCCCACTTACCAGATGGTCAGACTTCTTTGTCAAGATCATGAACGATCGGTTTGAGGCCCTCCATGTTCCCGGAGCGAAGAGATGCCATTGGGCTACATTAGCACGCGACAGGGACAAATGGAGACGTTACTGGCGCCCGCTCGAGCAAATCGACGACTAACGGGAAGTTAAGTGATAAGTGATTTATGGGAGGGAGGAAAAATGCTATAATAAAAATAAACCAGGTCCCAAGGGATATTGCAGCAAGTAGGGCATTTGCCTTGCACGTGGCCAACCAGGATTTGAATTCCCAACACTCCAGATGGTCTTCCGAGCCTGCCAGGAGTGATCCTTGAACACCATTGGATGTGGAAATAAATAAATAAATAAATAAATAATAAAAACAAACCACACATGTAATATTATAAAGAGAAATTTATTTCTAGCGTGATAAGTTTAGACAATTTAGAATTACTACATATATTTTACAAGCTAATTTCTCAATTATCAAGACTTGGGCTGGAGCGATAGCACAGCGGTAGGGCGTTTGCCTTGCACGCAGCTAACATGGCCGACCCAAATTCAATTCCTCCGCCCCTCTCGGAGAGCCCAGCAAGCTACCGAGAGTATCTCGCCCGGACAGCAGAGCCTGGCAAGCTCCCCGTGACGTATTCGATATGCCAGACACAGTAACAACAAAGTCTCCAATGGAGACGTTTCTGGGCCCGCTCGAGCAAATCAATGAACAACGGGAGAACCGTGACTGTGACAATCAAGTCTTCAAAAGGAATTTTCTCTAATCATGCTCCGATGTGTTACAAGTCATGAAAAATATTTTCAAGAGATAAAGTGCACATCTCAAAGAAGATTTATAAATCTGACTGGCCACTTATTCTAACAAAAAGTTATCCCATTCATGTTAGGCATCAGAATAGCTTGCTTTCTCATAAACTAGCTCTAGGGTTCAAACTCTAAACCCTAAAGCAAAGCTGTGCTGAGTGTACCTATATACTCTGCTCAGCAACTTCCAAGCTTCTGACCCTCCAAGAATTCTCTCCAGACGTTCTGTTGTCAATGAATTGTTTCCTTGCCCTGCTAGAAACAACATGAGGCCTCCAGGTTCAATCCCCAGACCCACGTGGTGCCCCAGCACTGCCAGGAATGACCCCCTAGCACAGCATAGGAAATAGACCCTGAGCACTGCTGGGTCTGGTTTCAACAAAACCAATTCAACCATCACACAGTGACAATTTTTTTAATTATTTCCATGTATGCTACCTTTCACGCTTAAGACAGATTTTGAGACTATATTGCCTAAACACAAAATGTACAGATGCACTGAGATTATTCTCAATTTCTGATGGTCTAGTTATTTTAAAAGATTCCATGCCACCCCAAAAAATAAAAAAAAATTGTAAGTGGAACATCATAAAAGTCTTCATCCCATTTTCTTCATGTTGAATAATATGAGGAGAAAAAGAAAGAGTTGAAAAAAATTTCATATATGTGGAGCCATGCTGTCAAACCCATGTTATTCAAGGAAAAATTAGTGCTAAACTAGACTCAATCAGGTAACTAGACAGCTTTTTAGTGATCATTAGTATGTTAGGAAAGTCCTGACTACTCTTTTTTTTTTTTTCCTTTATTTTATTTTATTTTTTTTAAAGTTGTAGATTTACAATTTTTTGTGCTTTGGTTTCAATTATACAATGATCAGATACCCATCCCTCCACCAGTGCCCATTTTCCACCACCATGGATAATATCCCTCCCACCCCCATCCCCCCATCCCCCCGTCTCTGTGGCAGGGCAATCCCCTGTGTTCTCTCTCTCCTTTTTGGTGTTGTGGTCTGCAAAAGAGGCATTGAGTGGCAAACATGTTCAGTCCATAGTCTACTTTCGACATGCATCTCCCCTCCTGGGAGGATCCTCCAAACATCCTTATTTGGTGCTCCCTTCTCTATCTGAATAGCCCTTTCCTCTAGGATACCCGGCTGGCCTCTAAGTTATGGAGTAATCCTCCTGGTGCTGATCTCAGCTATTCTTGGGTATTAATCTCATACTTTGTTACTTTATATCCCCCAGATGAATGCAATCTTTCTATGTCTATCCCTCTCTTTCTGACTCATTTCGCTTAGCATGATACTTTCCATATTGTACCACTTGTATGTAAATTTCATGACTTCATCTTTTCTAAGAGCTACATACCTCCAAAGAAACAGTGACCAAAATACAAAGACAGTCTACAGAATGGGAAAGGATATTCACCGAATACACATCTGACAAGGGGTTGATATCCAGGATATACAAAATACTGGTTAAACTCCACAAGAAGAAAACATCCAACCCCATCCAAAAATGGGGCAATGAAATGAACAGAAACTTTCTCAAAGAAGAAATCCGAATGGCAAAAAAGCACATGAGAAAATGCTCTACATCATTAATCATCAGGGAGATGCAGATCAAAACCACAATGAGATACCATCTCACACCTCAGAGACTGGCCCACATTCAAAAGAACAAAAGCAACCGATGCTGGCGTGGTTGTGGCGAGAAAGGGACACTCCTTCACTGTTGGTGGGAATGCCGACTGGTTCAGCCCTTCTGGAAAACAGTATGGACGATTCTCAAAAAATTAGAAATTGAGCTCCCATTTGACCCAGCAATACCACTCCTGGGAATATATCCCAGAGAGGCAAAAATGTATAGTCGAAGTGACATCTGCACTTGTTTGTTCATTGCAGCCCTCTTTACAATAGCCAGAAACTGGAAGAAACCTGAATGCCCAAGAACAGATGACTGGTTAAAGAAACTTTGGTACATCTACACAATGGAGTACTATGTAGCTCTTAGAAAAGATGAAGTCATGAAAGTCCTGACTACTCTTTTGTGCAGCATTTGGCAAGTTCTCAAAGGTTGTATGCTTTTTCACAACCCTATAAGAAACGGCCAAGAGAAATGTGGTAAAACTTCATCATTGAGACAGTGGGCTGAGAGCAAGGTTCCCATGTGGGGACCCAAGTTCAACGTCCAGAACTGCATGGTCCTTCAAGCATTGCCAGGAGCTACGTCCCAAAATGGAGCTCTACTGGGTATGACCCTCAAATAAAATAAAGCACAAGAAAGACTCTTTAGATTCTAGCTATATTAATAAATAAGCTCTATGACTGTAACAAGCTTCCTAACCTCAAAGACAGTTGATTTCCTCTCCTAGAACATGGGTGAGGGACCAGAGAGTACAGCAGGTAGGGCACTTGTCTTGCATGCAACTGACCCCAAGTTTTGATTCTCGGCATCCCATATGATTCCAGAGCACTTCCAGGAGTGATTTCTGAGTGCAGAGTCAGGAGTGACCTTTGGATATTGCCAGGTCCCAAACAAAACAAACAAAAAGAACATGGGTGATAATAGTAGCTGCAGCTCAGGACATTCCTCACCACGCTACTGTGAGGAATAACAGACACTAGACCTTGAGGTCCTCACACAGTCTGACCCAACGTCAGTTGTCAAGCCTGTCTGATACAGTGAATAGGTAAACTGTCACCTCCTCTCCAGTGAGTGGAAAGCGGCTGTCAGTCATGTCAGAATTTCCTAAAAATCTAGGCTTTGAAGCAATCTTTTCATTCCTCGCATCCACAGGTCTCCAGTGATCATTAAGGCTTCTAAAGCCCAGCAAAAATCTGTGGTCTCCTGACCTTCCCCACAAATACCCTAGAGTCCGGATAAAAGGAATGAAGGAGGGCCAGTCAGCCACTAACGGGCAAGATTATCCCCAGGCAATCAGCCTCTTTCCGCACAGCTGACCACAAATAAGGAGCCCAGTAGGGAATTAATTAGAGCCTGAGGAAAAAGTCCTGAGCCCTCAGCAGTGCTGGAGTCTCTGATAAGCCTGCAATAACTGAATAAACAAACTTGAGGGGACTTTGGATGTTTATGCGCAAAATTCCCTAAGTCCCTAATAGTAGAAGTCATTGTGAATAGCTAAGACATATTAGAACTTGTAGGTGTATATTATATACTCCATTTTAACTCATCAGTAAGAATTTTAAAAATGAGACACTGAGGAGTAAAAACATGCTTTCAAACAAAGCACATGAAAAGAACACACACACACACACACACACACACACACACACACACACGCAGGCAAATCTGCTTTCCTGCTTATCTAAATCAGGTTAGAACAAATAAACACAGAGATCACCCAAAAGTCTCCATTATACCAGAAAACAATACAAAACAGGCAAGGAGATTTATAGAAAACAAGTGGGTCCTGACAGACTTCATCACGGGACCAAAACAAGTACAAACAAGAGTTGCCTGTAGTTGACTGAAAAGTACATAAAGACTATGGAAATGACTTTCTTGCCAAAAGTGGTATTTGTTTAATCTGCTTATCTCAAATCAAAACTAATTATTCTAATCACTTTGATACATTCCAAAGAATTCCCTGATGTGGCCATTGAAAAATACCCTTGCAACATTCACAAACAAACCATGTTCCACAGTTTCAGAATATATCTAACCTTTAGAATTTATGATTCTGCTTGGTGATATGTAATCTCCTCCCTATTGGGACAAAAATAATCTGATACCTCAAATTTGGAGTTGATATAAATCCCAGAATCCTTTTCTCTTTTTCAGAATGTTTGGATACCACCACTTTACAGATTTTCTACAACTAAATGGTTCAAAAAAAAAAGAACTAATAGAAAAAAATCATTTTAGACATTAAATATTTACTCAGTGTGGTTCAGGATCCTGCATAAAAACTGCGTCCTTTACTGAGATGAGAGAATCCTGGACAGCCAATTAACAGATTACAGTTGCCCTAAGCACTTCCTCCAATGGATTGGTCGACTTACATGGCACTTTCTTCACTGCAATTTGAGTTGTCAGCATCCACTGTTGTCTTCTGGCCAAAAGCCTCATCTGTAAGGTCCAACTGGGTCTGGTTCTTAAATTTAATTGTTATTCTTTTGGCCCAGAAGAGAATGCAGGGAATTCCATGGATGGAGATATTAATTGGACTGTGATGGCTGAATGCATTCCAAGGTACTTTTTCTAAATGTCCTTTTCTGCTCAGATTGTAGTTGAGAGCCTAATTAAGCAAATAAGAGAAGTTTAAAAAACAAATTTTTTGTTTAAGAATGAATTTTTCACAGCACAAAATGCTTCTAGGAAGTTATTTAATTTGTTATCTGTTGAAGTCTAGCAATCTACCTTCTAGGGGACTAAGGAAAAGGGTAAACCAGATGGTGATCAGCATAAAGTGGTAGGCCTAAACCTTAATCCAGATCTACCACACCCAAAAGAAGAAGAACCAATTGTAAAAGAAAAATATTTTGCAAATGATAATGTCCGATTTTTTTAAAAGTGAATAGTTTTGTTTTGTTTTGTTGTTTTTACTTATTTGTTTATTTTGGTTTGGGGACTACACTCAGCACTCCTCAGCAATTACTTCTGACTCAGCACTCAGGAATTAATCTTGGCAGTCTTGAGGGTTAATATGAAATGCCAGGGATTGAACCCAGATTAGCTGCATACAGGCAAGCTCTCTACTGCTATACTATCTCTCCAGCCCCAAAGTATAGACATTTTTTAAGTTACCCTGCTAGGGAAATATCAATAAATGAACAGGCTTGAGTGGGTTTTTAGTGATGTGAAAGTTCCTTCTGTATTTTAGTAGAATTATGAGCTCATATCTAATGGTGGATTATACGGCGCCAGGGGGCCAGTTGGTGGGTGTGACCCCCGCCTACTGGAATGGGTGGAGGATACTCAACCCCGATCCGAGTAGGCTGGGAGATCTCAATCCCCGGACCTGCATGCCTTTGTTCCTCTGCCGGTACCTTCATGTGTGCTGAGAGTGGTCTCAGCATGGTGGTGGCTGGTTCTGAAGGTCTTCGACTGCCAGAGCCCTGGTCAGGGTGGGGAGGAGAACTCAACCCGCTAGCCTCCAGCCAGGAGGGAGCTCCCACCCAGCTCCCGGTAGGGAACAGTGCAGAGTCTCCTGCCCCCGCGCCTGGCTGTCCTCACCAGGGCCCCTTGGAGGGGAGCGGGTTGAGTTCTCCTCCCCGCCCGACTAGGGCTCCGGCAGCCAAAGACCTCCGGAACCAGCCACCACCATGCTAAGATCACTCTCCGCACACATGAAGGTACCGGCAGAGGAACAAAGGCATGCGGGTCCCAGGACTGAGATCTCCCACCCTACTCGGATCGGGGCTGAGCATCCTCCACCCAGATCCTCCAAATTACAATAGGTGGGGGTCACACCTACCAACTGGCCCCCTGGCACCGTGTAATCCCATCAACAGCCAAGACTCAGAGACTATAAAACCCAGCTCTCGGAAGTGCGCAGCCGCGACATCTTATTATCTCATTCCTACTTTGGACAAACTGGCAGGCTACCGAATGTAACCTGCCCACACGGCAGAGTCTGGCAAACTACCTGTGGCGTACTCAATATGCCAAATACCAGTAACAATGATGGGTCTCATTCTCCGAACTCTGAAAGAGCCTTGAATATGGCACTTTTTAAAAAAATCTCAGGGCTAGGACGAAGGAGACGTTACTGGGGCCTGCTCAAGGCAATCAACGATTAACAGGATGGTTGTGATCATGATCGTGATCTAATGGTGGATTCATATCATTTCTAAAAGTTCACAAAATACATTGGGTAAATTCTTTTTTTTCTTTTTTTTTCTTTTTTTTATTTTTGGGTCACACCTGGCCTTTCACAGGGGTTACTCCTGGCAGTGCTCGGGGGACCATGTGGGATGCTAGGAATTGAACCCGGGTTGGCTGTGTGCAAGGCAAACACCCTAGCCACTGTGCTATCACTCCATCCCCATAAATTCTAATATAAGCTGTGATCTTCATTAATAATGTACAAACTTTGGGGCTGGAGCAATAGCACAGAGTGTAGGGTATTTGCCTTCCACAAGGCTGAACCAGGTTCGATTTCCAGCATCCCATATGATCCCCCAAGCACCACCAGGAGTAATTCCTGAGTGCATGAGCCAGGAGTATCCCCTGTGGCATACCGGGTGTGACCCAAAAAGAAAAAAAATTGTACGAACTTCAGCTTAACTGTAACAAGTGTACTGCTCTAATGCATCATATTAAATATGGAGGAAATTAATATAGAATTTCATGGTCGGGGAGGGGAACATTGAAGGGATAAGTCGGAACCATTTTTTATTCCCTCCTTTTCATTTTTTCTACATACCTAAAATACTCAGACAAAATCTATTAATTTGAAAAAATATACCACAATTTTAAAAAAATGTAAGGGGTGGGGGGAAGCATCACGTCCTAATAGTAATAGCAGTAATCACTTTAGAAGCTATTGTACAAACCACAAAAACTGGAGGGTTTTCTAAAAAAGAATTAACATGTTAAATATGCAAGAAAACACGCAATTTCTAGAAGTCAAGCATAATTCTCAGTCTTTAATGCCAAAAGAGCATTCTATAATATTGGGATGTTCTATATCAGCACAGTCTAATGCAATAATCGCTGACTATACCTGGCTATTATGCACTTAAACTGTGGCTGACCAGAGCATATATCAAAGAGACATGAAAAAACAATGCTAACGGGGATGTAGTGAGAATGAACCTTCATTGGTAGGAATATCATCAAGTATAACCTATATGGAAAAATGTATCAAAACAATAAGTTAATAAAAGTAATAACAGAACCTCTATATGACCAGTAAAAGATACTTCTGGGTATCTTTCCCAAGAACACAAAAACATTCACTTAAATACATATATGCACACCTATGTACATTGTGGCATGAACTAAATAGCCAAGATATGGAAACAATCCAAATGTTCAAAGACAGATAAAAAGACTGTGGTATATGCACACAATGGAATACTCTGCAACTATAAAGGATGAACTCTTGCCTTCTGTTTTGCTGCAATATGGACAGAGTTAGAAGGTACCATGCTATATAAAACTGAAAAGGGAGAAGAATAAATATCAGATGAACTTGTTCATATGTGGTGTCTCAAAGGACTGGAGCATGTGCTTTGCATGCAGGAACCCCCATTTGATTCTCAGCACCACATAATTCTCTGAGCACAGCCACGAAAAGCCCAAAGCACCAAGCAAGTAGTAACACCTAAACACTGCCATGTGTGGACTATAGAAGTGAAGTTAGCAAGCAGTAAGTGTTAAGGGCTAAGGGAAGGAAAAGACTGGCTAGAAATAGCACAGGAATAATGGTAAGGGGTGTTGAGCACTTCAGTGATGGTGAAAGTGTAGTAACTGTGCACACCAAAAACATAAATGTTAACCCTGTTGTAAACATGTTACCGAAACTACAATAAATTTAAATGAAAAGTGGCTAGAGCAACTGAAGTACTTAATTTTTAATTTATTTAGCATTATTTCATTTAAATGTAAATAGCCATAGGTAGCAAGCTGTTTTGACAGTTCAGCTTCAGATTTATGCATTTAATATAATAATAAAATAGCAAGATATTGCAATATTATTCTGCATCTTAGAAACCTCAGTTTTTCTAGGAAACTCAAGACAAGGCATTTTGGTGCCTGACTCTGGATCTCACAAAGGCAAAGCTATATTCCCCCAAAATCCACTTAGATAAATCAACAACTGCATTCCAAGTACTCCAGTATAAGTACAGATATAAATTAACACATTGACTCCTGTGCACCACTGGCGGCTGACACTTGCAAGTGGCTTAATTAACACAAATTGCAGTTTTTGTGTCCTATTAAACTGGTAGCAGTAAACCAAGCTCACCAGTAAGCAACGACAAAGGAAATAGTGATCTTGTATGGAGCAACCAAAGTAAAACTGAATATTGTAACAAAAATACATGCAAGCAAATAAAGTTTGGTGCTTTGTTTTTCCCTCAACTATAAGATTATCACAAGAGTTCCCTACCTGAAATTCAAGCAAAAATGTTAGCTGTCAGAAGAATTACTTATCTTTTCACAGTGGTTCTCACAGGTTTGAAATACTGTAAAACTCGGAGTTTGAACATTTTTTAAAAAGAAGTAACCTTAAACAACATACCTGTATGGTTGGTTTTGCTGTGAAATTCTGGACTGTTTTCATAGTCCCATTAGTGGGTTGATCTGTCAATTAAATAATGACATAATAAGCGATTTATTAATCTATTTGATTTGCAAATATATGTTAAACACTGTGAAACATGCCAGGCTTGAACTCCTTTAGGCTACGAATTTAGAATACACTAATTTTAATTTGGGAGACTTTTGCATGAGAGATTCCTAGGGTAAGTACCAAGGTTTGGAAGGGCCCATTGCAGACAAAACTGATTCTCAACACTCCCTTCCCCATGAAAGGAATCATGAGGGCAGTAACCACTCTTACCACTGTCTGTAACCACTTCATTGTTTGAAGACGTTCGAGAAAGGAAACTGGAAAAGACAAAAATAAAAAGATTCTGAACACTTCACTAAATAATCATATTTTATACACAATGTTATTTTGTTTGTGTTTTGGGACCACACCTGGCAATGCTCAGGACTTATTCCTGGCTATGCATTCCGGGATCACTCCTGGCAGGCTCAAGGGACCACATGGGATACTGGGGATCAAACCCAGGTTGGAGATGTGCAAGTCAAACGCCCTACATGCTGAATTATCACTCCAGCCCCTTTATATGCAGTTTTAAAGAAGATATTTCAATTTGTTATTAACGATATCTGTTTGACAATTCATACTAGAGGAACATCACCTTAGCTACCAAAACTCTCTGTTTTAAAATAGTAAATTTCTGATTCTAAAAGTAACACATATAGTCCTCCAAAAATTAGGCAAACACAGGCAGGAGAGATTGTAATGGGGTTAAGGCACTTGCCTTGCATGTGGGCAACGTTGATTCTATCCCCTGTATCACACATAGTCCCCTGGCTATGCATTCAGGGATCACTCCTGGTAGGCTCAAGGGACCACATGGGATACTGGGGATCAAACCCAGGTTGGAGATGTGCAAGTCAAACACTCTACATGCTGAATTATCACTCCAGCCCCTTTATATGCAGTTTTAAAGAAGACATTTCAATTTGTTATCACACCACATGGAGTGATCCCTGAGCACCACAGGGATGAATATGATAGGTAGATAGACAGACAGACAGACAGACAGACAGATAGATAGATAGATAGATAGATAGATAGATAAAAATAGTACTAAATTATAGCTTGAAAAATATTAGGAAAATGCAAATTTTATACACATTAAAAATTATCCTTATCCTTATTCACTATTACTAAAAGTCAACTATGTGTTAATCAGTGTACTAGATAACCAATTGTGTCATAAATGTTACAAATGTTAGTTCATAGCATAAATTACGTTCTCATAAATTGTACAAGCAGTATATGAAAATTCAGAACAAATTCTATACTTATTATCTAAAATATCTCTATCTAACCCATAAATACAACTATTTATAAATAAAATTTCTGCAATTAGAGAAAAACAAATATATTCTACATTATCATATGTTTGTAAAACATAATTTTAGCTACAGAGTTAGTCCATTTATACCATAGTAAAGCGATTTGGAATTAGTTTTGTGAAGGGTTAGGGTGGCTTGGCAGTAGAGCAGATGTCCTGTTTGAGGCCCTCATTTCAATCCCTAGAACCACACGCTAAAATTAACTATACAGAAAAAATGGCAAATTAAATGCACCACTCTTTTTTTATAAAACTATCTCTCTAAAATTTTCTGACGCTGACAAACCAGTGATTATACAACTACTAATAGCTATTAATAAATTCATGCATGAAACTATTCATTTTGTCAGCTTTATTGAGAAAGAACTTACAATAAATTTCATTCATTTAATGTGTACAATTCAATGAGTTTTGTCATATGCAAAAATCCATGATAAATTCCCCACAATAAAGCTACAGAACATTTACATTCTACAAAAGTTGCCACAGCTCGTTTGCAGTTGAGAGATGTTCCCTCCAAATTCAGCTGCAAACACCTGAACACTTGTTTTCTATTATTTTAGACTAGTTTGAAATTTTTAAAAAGTGGCTTTAGCAAACAGTAGATTTAAGTCAATATAATGAGAAAGAGAAATCTGAGGATGACTACTGCACACAGTACCCAGAAAGAATCAATCCAGATTGGAGGGAGAGAATAAAAGGGTGCTAAAAGAGGAGTGCTACTTCACAAAACAAAAACCTTGAGGCTGAAGCAACAGAATAGAGGCCAGAGTATTGCCCTACATGCAGCAGACCAAGGTTCAATTCTTGGCACTCCATATGGTTCTCTGAGCACTGCAAGTAGTGATCCCTAAGCACAGTTAGGAATAAACCCTGAACAACGCAAGATATAGTGCAAAAATCAAAACAAAACAAAAGGGCAAGGGGAGACATCTGCATAGATCTCTAGGTTAAAAAGGTATTTGAAAGACTATGCATTATATAATGGCTTGTGAAAGAATTAAGAATATGCATGTTTACTACAAATAAAGAAAATGTAACTCAAGGGAAAGAGTTGTACAAAGAAAACGAAAACACGTAATTATAGTGCACTAATAGGTTTGTAGTACACTAGTTACATAAACATATAATACTCAGTGGACTTCATCCACTAGTCCAAAGACCATTACCAATCCATGGGTATAGAAAAGTTGAAAACAACTGGTCTATCACCCTGGAGTTTTCAGGTCCATGGGTATTAAACAGTTGGAGAACACTAAACAGTTGGAGAACTCTAGTCACACTGACTGAGAACAGATTTAACAAAAAAAAAAGGGGGGGATATATACATTCCCAACCTTGGCCATATGCTTTGGAGCACCTCCCCATGTAGATGAAGAATATTTCTTGCCCGATCTATGTACTTGGTTTTGTGTCTGGGTTAGATGGGTGACACGAGGAAGCACTGTCAGCTCTGTAGAAACTTTAAGAGGTGTTGCATGTTCTGTACGTATCTGCAACCTCTTGTCTTTTTACATGTCATAAGAATGATGTGCCCCACAAAGAGATTGTCTTTTCAATATGGGTCTTAGAATTTTAAGAAGACCTGGCAAACAGAACTTGAGGATGGAGATGGCTATCAACATGCAACATGAATTAAATAAATGTTTGAGATTGTGGATTGAAATTCTGGAATATGGGGTCTGTGCCACTGGAGAAAAACTGTCTAAATAAGATGTAATTTTCTTCTAAAATATATTATATGCCTTGGTACCATTTGAATTTTTAAAACCCTATATATGTATTGTTTGATAAATTTTCCTAATTTTAAATACTTCAAAAACTTAGAAATCAGAATCAGAGAGATAGTACAGTCGGTAAGGCAACTGCCTTGCATGCATCCGACCCGGGATCAATCCCTGGTACCCTATATGGTCTCTCAAGACCACCAGGTGTGATCACTGAGCAAAGAGCCAAGATCACAACTGGGTATGGCCCCAAAACAAAATGAAACAAATGTAGAAATCAGCATGCTCTTATTAATAGGCTTAATGCAAATCAGTCATTTAGCCCATGTATATGCCTAAGAAATGTAATTTTCTGAGCAACAAAACTGAATCTCTGATCAAAATAATCATGTAACTACAGAGATATATTTTAGTCAAAAGTGTTCTATCTCCCTAACCTCCAAACTAAATTTCAAATGCAAGTGTAATGGTCACTGAAAATAATTTAAATAAATTAAAATTTTGCTTAATTTTGAACTTAACTCAAAAGTCACATTTTATAATTTGAGTTAAGTATTCAGATTAAAGTGAGTAAAAATACATTTAAAATAAAAGCATAAATTTATTGCATAATTTTTTTTTGCTTTTTTGGGTCACACCCGGTGATGCACAGGGTTTACTCCTGGTTCTGCACTCAGGAATTACCGCTGGCAGTGTTCAGGGGACCATATGGGCTGCTGGGAACTGAACCCGGGTCGGCCGCTTGCAAGGCAAATGCCCTACCCTCTGTGCTATTGCTCCAGTCCCTACTGCATAATTTATTTCACCAAAATAAAAATGTATTAAATTGATACAGAGAAATGGCCAATGTAAGCATGAAGTACAAATGATGTTGTAAATCATCTTTCTAGTATAAAAATGTTCTCTTGGAGCTGGAGGTAATGTTTTCGCCTTGCACCAGCCAAACTGGGTTTGATTCCCAGCATCCCATATGGTCCCCTGAGCATGGCCAGGAGTAATTCCTGAGTGCAGAGCCAGGAGTAACACCTGTGCAATGCCAGGTGTGACCCAAAAAGCCAAAAAAAAAAAAATTCTCTTATGTAGAAACTACCACTTCTTTAAAATTACACCAATAATGAATATGAACAAAAATATTGTTGTTTTTGTCAAAAGCACTAATATATCATAGATATGGAGATGTTACTGGGCCCGCTCGAGCAAATTGATGATCAACGGGAGGGCCTTTACCTTACCTTTTATTAAACACCTAAAAGAGCAGGGGCCAGATCAGGTTGGATCCCTGCCACCCTGAGTCTGTGAGCCTGCCAGGATTGATCCTTGAGCACAAAACCAGACTAGGTCCTGAATACTGAGAGGTGTGGCCCCAAAACAAAAATAAATGAGCCCTCTAAAGAATCAAGAGAAATGAAGTCCAAAAATCCAAGATGGAGATCAAGATATTGGTGGTTTATTTTCTGCTTATTATAAAACTTCTGTGTAATAAAAATCGTACTCACCAGCACTGTGACAATTTGCAGTTGCCATGGCATCCCCTGCACATGACAACATGATGAGAATCTAGATAGTACTCGCATTTATCTTCTCTCTTCTGTGAAATATCATAAACATTCCACTCCTTATTGAATCGCCCCATTTCTATACCTATATAATCTAGATTTTTGTGTAGAAATGGAACTACTGTCCTGGAGTGTGCCCACATTTGGATGCTGAGTGTTGTTATTAGCTTCGGTAAGTTGACTGAGAAACAAGACTGCTCACACTATGAGTACACCTGAATGCTCATTCTCAAGTGCATACAATTCTTCAATTATCCCTTTCCTGTCCGGCATTCCTCTGAATCAAACTTGAATTCTTTCTTGTGTAGGTCAAACAAACCTGAGGCCCGAATCAGAGCCTAAAGGTCATGCCCCTGACCAACAAACATCTTTCTACACCAAAGTCATTTGAAAATATTTGCTTAGCAGAGAAGGTTAATAAATGTTTTTTGGGTAAATGTATATGGATGAGTGATTAAATGAATAAATAAACTGCCCTACCATTAACATGATTAATTTAAAACTTGGTTGAAAAGTTTTTACATAATTACTAATGGAAAGCTTTAGTGTATAATACAAGTTAATTGTGGGGAGCCAGAGGTCTCCATCTTGGCTTTGTGAGTCTGTAAGCACATGGCATCCCACCATGTGGCCCTTGGATGATGCAATCTGGCTAGCCACTTCTGTAACTCTCCACTCCTTATATGGCTATCTTGACTGTCCATCCTGACTGTCTGTCCACTGTCCGCTGAGCATTAGCTACGACAGAGGTCAGCCCATTCTGTTACATGTGTGCACCACCTTAAGATATATGAGTGCCTTTCAGACAATAAAGCTTGTCACATACTTTCCATCCAAGATGTGAGTCCATTCCTTTTCATTCGGGAGACTCCTTGCCCAGGATATCTCTCATAGGTGGAGTCCTGCAGGTCGGGACCCCACAGCACCCCACAGCACCCCACAGCAACCCAAATCACCCCACAGCTAATTTTCATTTTTATTTCAGTTTGTCAATAGGTATGAACATATAATATGCTGTCATACTCCCGGCAAGCTACCGAGAGTATTCGATATGCCAGACACAGTAACAACAAAGTCTCCAATGGAGACGTTACTGGGCCCGCTCGAGCAAATCGATGATCAACGGGAGGGCCTTTACTTTACTTTACTTTACTATTATTCATATAGGCCTTTCCCATACCCATAATATTTTTTTTTTGCTTTTTGGGTCACACCCAATGATGTTCAGGGGTTACTCCTGGCTCTGTACTTGGGAATTACTCTTGGCAGTACTCAGAGGACCATATGGGATGCTGGGGATCGAACTTCGGTTGGCCACGTGCAAGGTAAATGCCCTACCTCCTGTGCTATTGCTCTAGCCCCCACATCCATAATCTTTAAGTATGATAGGAAGCCATAATCCCAACTAAACAGACATGTTCTCATCCCCCACAAAAACTCTCAATAAAGTACAAAGTGAAGAATTATGTGGTTAAAAAGATATGTGAATAACTTAAGGAACACTGACTTTCTAGATTAAATCCATTTTGGCTAAAATATCAAGACCATTTTCTAGTAAAAAGAGACTTCTACAATACCTAGAAAGTAATTAAAAGCCACAGACTCGGAGCACCCTGTTTTTCATTTCCTAGATGCTCCCTCAGACATCTCCCAAATCTTCCCTTCCTTGAGGTTAGAGGGAAGCAAGTTCCTCAGGATCCTGCTCAGAAAACCACATTCCCACCATGGCCAATCAGCCCACAGAGGTCTTGGCTTGCTAACGGTGCTCACTTTATTTTATCTCTATCCTCTCTGTTCCTTCTACACTAGCATTTTTCACTTCCCTAAATGCTTTAATATCCTTTCTTCTCTCAGATGTCTTACTGTCTTCAGTTCTAATATTTTTCATCCTTACTTCCCTACTCTTCCTAGTTACTTCATAAAACCCTCCAGATCATAGCTCAGGTATTACTTCCCTAGGAACCCCCTCATGTTAGCACACAGATACCCCTTCTAAATGTGCTCATAGACCCTATACTTCTCATTCATGGCACCTTTCACTAGTAGCTATCACTTATATTAATATACATTATTTTATTCATAAGCACAAGCCTTAAAATTCCATGAGGTCATAGACTTTGACTATTAGAGACCCAGCACCTAGCATAGCAATGGGCCTAGCTATTCATGGACTTTTTAAAATGATACATGCATGAATGAATTAATATAGTAATGAAGGAACAGAGTCTGGAAGGGTAACAGAAAATGGGAAACCACACACAGGGTGAGAAGATTCAGCATAATCCCATTATAAAGAAGAAATACGTAAAGGAAGATTAGTGAGTCCTACTATGGGTATTTTAGGAAATGTATCAACTTTTACAATCATCATTCCTAGTGATTAAAGATCTTAAAAAAAAAACTGAGAGTTTAAAGATATATTTGGGGGGTGGGGCTGGAGCAATAGCACAGTGGGTAGGGCGTTTGCCTTGCATGCGGCCGACCCGGGTTCAATTCCCAGCATCCCATAAGGTCCCCCGAGCACCACCAGGAGTAATTTCTGAGTGCATGAGCCAGGAGCAACCCCTGTGTATCACCGGGTGTGACCCAGAAAGCAGAAGCAACAAAAAGGGTATATTTGCAGGCTGGATGTGCCCACACCCAGATGTGCCCAGAGCTTATTCCTGGCTCTGAGCTCAGGGATTACTATTGTTAGTGTTTGGGCGACAATATGCAGTGACAGGAATCAAACTCAGGTTGGTTGAGCGCAGTAACATCTCCATTCATCCCAGCCCTGAGATTTTAGCAGCCTCTCCTTACTCGTCTTTCCCAACGTATTGGAGTTTCTTTCAGGGTCAGGGGAATAAGACCCGTTATTATTACTGTTTTTGGCATGTCTAGTACATCATGGCTAGCTTGCCAGGCTCTGCCGTGCGGGCCGGATACTCTCGGTAGCTTGCAGGGCTCTCCAAGAGGCATATGGGACCACATGTAGTACCAGGAATCGAACCCAGGTTAACTGCATGCAAGGCAAGCACCATATCCTTTGTACTATCTTTCTGGCTGCAAAAAAAATGGGATTTTTTATAGTTTCTGGTGTATATTTTTACCAGTGTAACACAAAAATCAATCATTTATAATATTAACTCATGAAGAAACATTACTAAACATTACCTAAGGCATACAGGCCACTTATATGGAAGTGAACTGAAAGAAAAGCACTTACTGGTTTGGAAACAATGGAGGAAAACAAATTAAAAATGCCTTTACTTTTAATTTTTTTCTATATCATCTAGACCTAGGCATTCCTGAACACAAATTTCGGCAGATAATACTGCTTGCGCAGCTGTCCTTTCCTTTGTTCACACTAAATTCCCAGATGAATTTGTGGAAATAACACATCGTGAGATATTAACTATCATCAGTTAATTGTGATTCATTCTGAATATTCTTCTTCAGAGAACAACCTCTATATACTGTCTTGCATGATTTGATAAGAATTCAAAACAATGAAGAAAATACAAATTGTATTGCTTATTTTCTTAAAAGCATGTATGCCAAACAATTTCCTTCTCCTACAGTTAAAGTGATTTGACACCTTTTCTTTGAAGAACAGGTTATATATTTTCGAGGTTGTATCATTTTTTCTTATTCGCTTTCACACAATAATAGCAGGAGGAGCTGAAATTAACATTTATTTTAAATATAAAATAAACATGAACACTGTTTCATAGAAGGGTCACTTTCTCATATATATTCTTAGATGTAAAACAAATATTTTGTGACAATTCTGAATAAATAACTCTTATAAAGATCAAACTTTCATCTTTTATTTGTAAATTCTAGATCAATGATTTGAGATACAAAATGATATGATCAAGCCTATTCCTTCAGAGTTGTAAACAAATATATCTATACAAAAATTTTTAAAAATTACTAAATCACCTAGTTTTACACTTGAACTGAAGTTCACAAATATGTTACATTGAAAGACAAGGGATTACTTACCTTACATTCTTCCTGGCAAGTATCTGTTCCAAAGTTAGTGAAAATCCCACACATAAAAATATAACTGAAAAGCTGAACAAGATTTTTCTTCCCATCAAGAAATTAATCAGTCTCTTCAAGCCAAGCACATCTGTTAATTTGTAAATGCAAACAGAGCAGAGGCAGTGCTGGGTCTTGCCATGTGACCGACAGCAAATTCAACCAATCATAGGACGGCTTCCCCAGGCTGTATTACTGGTAGAGGAGGGTGGAGAGAGGGACTGATACTGTTCATTTTCTAATACAGAATGAAACCAGTAGGTCTTTTTCATTATTCATCTCAATAAAAAATTACTAAGGAGCAGAGTTTCAAAGAAAATACTCTAGCAGCTACGCTTTTAAAAATGTATTATCTAATATTCTCATATAACTTCCAAGAAGCAATTCAGTTCCTCCAAATCTAGGAAGTGTATGTATGTCAGTACGTGCATTTTTCAGTTGAATACATGAGTGAAAATCCCTAGAGCTTACCTAACGTTCTGTGTGTGTGTGTGTGTGTGTGTGTGTGTGTGCGCGCGCGTCCTAGTTTCCTGCTGAATTCATGAATTTCCATTTAGAGAGAGGCAGGGGAAATAAAGGCAAAGAACACGCTCAGGAATCAGATAGCATTTAGGTACACTTCCAGTTCTAGTCCCTTCTGACTGTCTGATGTTCACAATGACATTCCTTTCCTGAAGCCTCTCCGAGAGGGGCAGAGGAATCAAACTCGGGTTGGCCATGTCGGCCCCGTACAAGGCAAACGCCCTACCGCTGTGCTATCACTCCAGACCAGATAAAGAATATGTTGCATAAAAATATAATATTGTTTAGCTATAAAAAAGAAATTAAACTCCAATATGTGACAGTATGGATGAACCTTAAGGACACTGTGTTATGTGAAATAAATCAGTCACTGAAGAACAAATACTACATGATTTCACTTATGTAGCAAAACTAGGTAAGTTTACAGATAAAAAGAGCAGAAATGTGGTTGCCAGGAACTAGAATGAAGAGGAGATGGGAAATGCTGATCATAAAGTTTCAGTAAAGATGATTTGCAACTCTTGTAATCCAGTATATAAAGCTGTATTTATATTAGAGATATTATATTGAACAAATTGATTAAAAGGGTGAATATCATGTTAGATTCTTATCATTTGATCATTCGACTTCCCGTTAATCATTGATTTGTTCAAGCGGGCGCCAGTAACATCTCCATTTGTCCCTGTCATGTGCTAGTGTAGCCCAATGGTGTCTGTTCGTTCTAGGAACACGAAGAGCCTCAAACCGATCGTTCAGGGTCTTGACAGAGAAATCTGACCATCTTTTAGGTGGGCGACTACACGGTCTTTTGATGTCCCGTGGAATCCAGTTGGTAACGGCTCTAGTTCAGCAGTTATCTCCAAATCTCATTACGTGTCCAGCCCATCTGATTTTCGACACCTTGGCAAATGAGACAGCATCCCTGATTCTTGACCGTTGATGGAGGTCGGAATTCCGGATTCTTTCTCTCATTTGAGTGAAGCGTGATACTCCAAGCATAGCTCTTTCGATTCCTCTTTGGAAGACCTGAATAGCATTCTCATCCTGTTTTCGTAGGGCCCAGGTCTCTGAGGCATATGTTAATGCAGGAGGAACAGTGGAATCAAAGAGATGTGCCCAGAGCCGGAGGTTCTTCGTCCTCTTAACTATTTCTTCGATACTCTTGAAGGCATTCCAAGCAGCTCTCTTTCTCCTGTGCAACTCAGGTGCCAGGTCATTCGTCATGTTGACTTCTCGACCTAGGTACACATAACTGTTGCATTCGGAGATGGTTATCCAGTTGAGAGTGAATGGAACGTCAGGAACAAGAGCATTTCTCATAAATATTGTTTTTGTGGGATTCAGCTGGAGTCCGACCTTTTCACACTTACGGTGGAAGTCGGCCAGCATTTGTGCTGCTTGGCTAATGTTTGGTGTTATTAGAACGATGTCATCAACAAAGCAGAGATGGTGTAGTTGCCAACCGTCTATCTTTCATCAACAAAGCAGAGATGGTGTAGTTGCCAACCGTCTATCATTTCTTCCATTCCAGTCATACATCATGTTCTCAAGGGTGGCACTGAAAAATTTCAGTGAAATGGTATCACCCTGCCGAACCCCTCTCTTGATATCAATGATCACTTCTTTGTAGAATGGTGAGATCCTAGTAGTGAATCCGCAATATAGCTCATGGAGGATCCTGATGTATTGAGTTTGAATGCCTTGATTGGCTCAGGCTTCAATGACCGCTTCCATCTCAACAGAATCAAAGGCCTTCTTTAAATCAATGAACATTAGGCAGAGCGGCATCTTGAACTCCTGAGAAACCTCAGTGAGCTTGGTTATTGTGTGGATATGGTCAATTGTACCGAATCCTTTTTGGAAACTGGCTTGCTTGCATGGTTGTCCTTCATCTAGTGTTCTGCCAATCCTATTCAGGATGACTCAAGCGAACAGCTTGTAGATGACAGACAATAGGCAGATTGGGCGATACTTGCCAATGTCATGGATGTCTCCTTTCTCGTACAGTAGTACAGTCCTGCTGGTTTTCTATTGGGACAGAACCTTGCATTCAGACAGGTAGCCTGTGAAGAGCTGAGCCAGTGTATTGATAAGTACTGACGGCAGGTTTTTCAGGTTTTCGTGTCTGACCTTGTCTGGGCCAGGTGCTCTTCTTATAATAAAATTAATTTTAATTAAAAACAAAGTGATACCATAGATTAAATACTCTTCTTTCTTCAATGCTACCTGAGGAATATTTATTATTATTCTTGCCTGCCTGCCTCCACTTCTACCTGGCAACCCCAACTAAAAAGCATACAAAAAATAAATGAACAACAAAAATCCCTAAAAACATCTTAAATTTAAGAATGAAGTTAAGGGTCTGGAGTGATAGCACAGCAGGTAGGGCATTTTCCTTGCACACGGCTGACCCGGATTCGATTCCCAGCATCCTATATGGTTCCCCGAGCACCGCCAGGAGTAATTCCTGAGTGCACAAGCCAGGAGTAACCCCTGTACATTGCTGGGTGTGACCCAAAAAGACAAAGAAAAGAAAAAGAAAAGAATGCAATTAAGGAACTGGAGAGACAGTACAGTGGATAGAGCACTTGTCTTGCATGCAGCTGTGCTGAGCTATTTCTCTGGCATCTGATCTAACCCCAAGCACTGGCAGATGTGATTCCTGCGTTCCAAACAACATGTAAGCCCAGAGAATAGCCAGGTCTGACTCAAAAACCAAAAATTTTCAAAACAAAATAAGTCAAAAATAAAAATACAATTAAGGAGCCAAAGAGAGAATACAGGGTTTACAGTGCATGCTTTGTATGTAGTAAACACTAGTTCTATCCCTTGTACCACCTGGTCCCCCCAAAGATCACTGGGTCCAATTGTGGAAGTTTCCAGTACCACTGGGTGGCCTGAGTAATCCCAGACATTACAGGGCCTGAGCAGCACCTCAGGCTGGGATTTTCACACTGAATCACCATTCTGGTTGGCTGAGAATGGGCCCGGGGAGTTCCAGGAGCCCTGAGTACTGCTTGGGAACCTTTCCTCCACAACAACAACAACAACAAAAAGTATTAAAATGTCACAAAAAAGAAAATCCTGCATTTTCTTTTCTCCGTGTGCATTTCTGGCACATAAGAACTTTCTTCTCCTCAATGACAAGAATATTGGTAGCAAAAAGGGGTTATTTTTTAGTATCATTTCTGTGATGGGCTGGAGCAATAGCACAGCGGGTAGGGCATTTGCTTTGCATGTGGCCGACCTGGGCCAACGGGTTCAATTCCTCCTCCCCTCTCCAAGAAACCTGGCAAGCTATTGAGAGTATCCCACCCGCACAGCAAAGCGTGGCAAGCTCCCCATGACGTATTCGATATGCCAAACACAGTAACAACAAGTCTCACAATGAAGACATTACTGGTGCCCGCTCAAGCAAATCAATAAACAATGGGAGGACAGTGCTACAGTGCATTTCTGTGATAAATGAATTATGGGGAGTCTGGGGCTTACCTGACACCTCATCTTTTCACCAGATACTGGGGAGCCCTACTGCCAATGAGAGGACATTAAAGCCTGATTGACTGGGAAAGGGATGAAGAAATGAGGACGATGGATGCTCATACAAAATTATAGAACACAAAGGTCACTGCCATCAAGGTATTCTCCAGGCTTTACTTTATGCTTCCGATCATATTTCCTTTTCTCCTTTCTTACAATCCCTCAACTTCCAAATTTCATATCTTCTTTGACCTTCCTGTCCTTCTCCTAATTTTTTAGAACTTCAAGAAGGTCTAGACAGTTCTGTATTAGGCAGGGTTGCCACGAAAATCACAGTATACATGTTTAAAAGTTGAATTTTAGATAAATAACGACTAGTTTCCATAAAGGTACAGCTCATGTAATATTTCAGACAAACCATACCTGTCCCCACCAAGTTTGTTCTTTATACTGAATTGAACTGGTCACTTATTTCACTTGCTATATCTAACATTCCTAGACTTATGGACACTCTGCTACCCCAAATTTAACAAGCACTCGTCACCTGGGACTTTATTAAAATGCAAATTCAAACTCAGTAGGTCTGGCATGGAGCATGAGAATCTTTGTTTCTAACAAGCTTCCAGATGCTGCTGATACTGCTCCCTTGAGGATCGCCCTGGGATTAACAAGGGTCTAGAACAGCACTGTTCATTAGAAATGCAAATTCAGGAAGCAACTCAGGGATAGAACACAGGCTCTGCATGCATAAAGTGCTTGGTTCAAAGTCTGGCACCCAAAATATTCATAATTCAGGGCCACATATATAATTTTTAATTGTCAAATAGGCACTTGAAATAAAGCAAAATAAATAGGTGAAATTAATTTTGCTTTTTCTGTTTATTTGCCTACTATAATGTTCTGCCAATACAGTTCTGCCACTACAGAACATCTCCAGTTGTCTGATCAATAGCTCCCAGTTGCCCACGATAGGCAGCAGCTTTGTCTGAGCACACTGCTTTTGATATCCAAGGTCAAGAGATCCAACCCCATGATGAGCCTGCACAGTGAAAATACAGTGCTGTGAACACTCAGAAGTCATTTATATTTTCAGG